GGAGCAATTCAGAAATACTCGAGTTCACTGTTAATGTCTGGAAATGTATGCAGATAGCTCTATTTTTCTTCCATGTTCAGCCCATTTTTGTTACCCTTTGAGTAAGTATATTCATAATTTCCTTAAAATTTGATGCAATAGCCTGTCCTCTAGTTTAACAGACCTTCAAAGGCCTCCATTGCTCATTGGATATTTAAATTTTTCACCCTGGAATTCAAGTGATAGGTAGCACATAGTGGTAATAGGTCAGACTCTGGAGCTAGACTCTCCACATCCACCACTCAGATATGTGACCTCTATGCAAATTTTTTTAACCAGCAGAATTGGGATAGTACTTACTTCACTGGGTTGTTGTGAGGATTAAATGAGTTAATACATGGAAAGTGCCTGGTATACAGTAGGCACTGGGGACATATTAACTATCACCATCTGGTTCCAGTCTGCCAAGAACGTAAACTCCATGAGGGCAGGAATTTTTGTGTTTTGTTCATTACTGTATTCCCAGGGCCTAGAATAGTGCCTGGCACATATTAGACATTCAAATATTTGTTGAATGAGTTAATCCATTATGTATTTATAGCTCAGCCAAACAGAAATACTCCCCAATTCCCCAATATTCTTAGTTTTCTTGTTCTTTCCTCTGACATCACTTCTGTTAGGTTAGTCATAACCAATGTCCAGCTTAAATAGTGCCTCTAAGAGGCCTTGCCTGATCATCCCAGGAGGAAGTCATCTTCCCAGACCACGCTCTCGTGGTACACCTATGAACTATTTCATACTTATAGCATTCAACAGTCTTATCTTTACTAGTTTGTAAGCCCCTTGGGGAAGTTACCATGACATTACTCAAGACCAGAATATTACCTGACAGTGTGCTTGTTGAACCAAGGTACATGATTTTGAAAAATGAACAGCAGAGCATTGTCTTATTGTGGCAATCTTCCTAGGATTCCCTCTGTGTGGAGACCAAAGTCCTACCTGCAGTGGGGCGAAGGGTAGGGAGCTCAGAACCAAGAAGACAATTTTAAGCCCCAGTGAGTATGGTTAGCTTTGTACACAGAAAATATTTCCCAGTTATAGGATACACCCTCAACTTCTACTAGTCACCCCACGGCCAGTAGGGGATTTGGATTTAGGTTTGAGGCACAGTAATAATACCCACATCTTACAGGATTTGTTATAATCAAATAAAGTCTTAAGTAGTAGTGTTTTGATAATTATTACAGAATATCAAAATATTGTTATTGAAAAACAATTAGCCTATTTACATAAAATTGGAGAGGGTAGGTTTCTTGGTGTGCATACTAATGACAGAGCAAGGCAGAGCCTCATGTACCTATGCAGATATCTTGAGTAGACCCACTCAAGTCTGAAGGACTATTTTGAATTGTTCAATAACCGTATGTCTCTAAACAAGATGGTACTGAGAAAAGATCATGCTCATCTTAAAATACAATATTGCTTTGAAGGAATGTTAACAGTTTACCAGCTGCACTTACATTTTGTTTTGGTCCTCATAATTAGTGTCTAAAATGGTGTAAATTGTAACATTTTCACCCGTGATGGAGAAAAAGTTTCAGAGACTTCAAGTCCCACAGGAAGGGATGGCAGTGGGACATCAACTTGATTGAAATAATTTGCTTTTCAAATTTGCTATCTTCAGTAGATAGAACTATGGGAGTATTGGAAATGCTCAGACCTTGAGAATTTTGTTTTAATGGCTTTGGAAGACTAACAGGAATTTGGTCAATAATTTTTAGTTCAAATCAGTATTATTCATGAATTCCTTAAACAGTGTCCCTAATTTGGCCAGGGCTTTCCACTCCATTCCAGATCAAAGATGTGTCCTCAAAGGGGAGCTCTGAGCTGGCTGTTCACACACACACACCCCAATGAAGCATCAGCTGTTTCTGAATGTACAGTACACAAGCTCATGGTGGTTTTCTGAAACTCTCATAGCAGAATTCCACAGAAACTCCTTTGGCCTAGAATATGGAAGAGATATGTTGTTGTTCAGTGGTTTGGATTGTAAAAGAACAACTAAATCTCAAGTCCACATTCTCTGCTGGGCAGGCCCATTGGGATTATCTCATAGAGCTCAAGAGACTTACTAGTGCTCAGAGACAAAATACCACAGCAAATGGTCTCCCTTCAGAAGATAATGCACACGTCGTTTTTGCAGTGTAACTTCAAGTTACCTAGTGAGCTGGTTGCTCCTGAACATGAGTCGTCCTATCTCTCATAAAATCTAAGGTCTTAGATCATGGTCACCCCAGGGATCAGAGTCTCACATACTTGTGATCATCTGAGCATCATTTACATCCTGAGTTACAGCCCATCAGATGCCTCTGTTGAACACTGGCTGCAGATGTGCTTACCTCTTCACTCAGTAGAAAGAAGTGCTTAAACACAAATTGCTATAAGGCTCCCTGAAGGAGAAATGACCTTCAGCCAGGTTTCCAATAGCTGCATCACTGTGTTACTTTGAGTAGCTGGCTTCAGTAGCTCATGGAGTACTACTAAAATGCAGATCTTTTCCCTCAGATTCTGCCACTTCATCCACATCTTTGAGAAAATTAATTTCTCTTAAAGTTGGCCAGATAGGCCATCATGTTAATTCTGTGTAAATCCACCATAACACAGGAACCTGATCTGAAACTGAACAAATGCCTTAAAAGGAACTGAGATGTGGCTTCTAATAATAATACCCAACAATAAAAATTACAGCCAAAAGGTGATATCTAACTCATATATTATTTTATATAGGTTCTATGAAGGTCACGAGAATTATAGTCTCATAATAAAATATACTTGGGAAATATGGGGAAAGGTATGTCATAACCCTAAGAAATAAGTTTTAAAAGGTTTGTTGTTAAAGAGATACAAGTAGAAGTACCATTCGATCCAGCAATCCCATTACTGGGCATCTACCCAAAAGACCAAATGATATTGTATAAGAAAGACACCTGCACCCAAATGTTTATAGCAGCACAATTCACAATTGCAAAGATGTGGAAACAACCCAAGTGTCCATCAATACATCAGTGGATTAATAAAAGGTGGTATATGTATACCATGGAGTACTATTCAGCTTTAAGAAACAATGGTGATATAGCACCTCTTGTATACTCCTGGATAGAGCTGGAACCCATTCTACTAAGTGAGGTATCCCAAGAATGGAAAGACAAGCACCACATGTACTCACCATCAAACTGGTATTGACTGATCAACACATAAATGCACATATAAGAATAACATCTATTGGATGTTGGGCGGGGGGGGAGGGGACGGGTATTTGCATACACAAAGAGTGCAATGCACACCACCCGAAGGATGGACATATTTGAAACTCGGACTTGGGGGGGGGGCAAAGGCAACATACGTAACCTAAACATCTGTACCCCCATAATATGCTGAAATAAAAAAAAAAATTATTATTCATCTGTAAAAAAAAAAAAAAAGGTTTGTTGTATCACAGCTTTTCGTATTCAGGTAATACAGCAAAACATATTCCATGTGTGATTTGGAAAAGCTGTAGTACTAAATGTCATAGACTTCTCATCTGATTTTTGATTCAGTAAACTTTAAATTGAAAAAGACTGTTTATCACAAGCTTCTCATGACTAAAGAGGCTAAATGCGAACAGTTGAAAGTGGAATAGGGATGAGCCACCATGGATTCCAACAGCATTAGCACAGGTGGAACTCTGGAGCCAAAGGAGAGCAACACACAAATCTTCCCACAAGAAAGCCAGGTTTTCAATATAATTGATGGTTGCCAGGACCAGGGAGGTCTGGTTGCCGTTAGAGAAGGTAAAAACGTGACTGGGTCCTTGGGGATACTCCTGTGCAACCTCAGCTGTTAAGAAATGAAAATCAAGGGGGATTAAACATAACCCACCAGTCTACTGGCCACTCCTGTAGTAATCACCTAGGTTTCCTTTTATTACTAAGTATTATTCTTTCTTTTCCTCTGAAAGACTATTTTCCTGCATATTCCAGCTGGGCAATTCATTTACTGAGCTACTGAACTTTAATTTTGGGTCTTAGAAAGACCACAAGAAATGTTATGTAAACTATTCAGGATCAGCTACTAAGGACTACTACACTTCTCAAATATTTGGAATGCTCCTCCAAATCCAAACATATTCTGAATATTCTGCTAAATCAGACTCAGAGTTAACTAAAAGTTGTACAATTCTGGCTCACAGGACCCAGCATGAAGGTGGACTCGTATTACTGGACTTCAAGTCATCCAATATACAGTACACTGCTTCTTGCAGCAACTCCCCAATAAAAAGTGCAATGTATAGAGACACAAGGTATGCTTCTGAGCTAAAATGTATGACCACTATATTTCGTAGTAGAAAAGGGAAACCATCAATTTCAAACGCTACAAAATTAGTGTTCTACTAAATAAATTATACATAGCAAAATGTTTTCAGATTGGTCTTACCAAAATGGATGTGTCAATAATTGAAGATATTATATATATACAAAGAAATAAATCATTTTCAAAGACATGCCTACTTCTTATTCAAAGTTTAGGACCTACCACTTAAATTTGTGAACATTTTTATTCATAAAACAGTAAGTAATATTCATCACTACTACAAGTGTTCTGTTCTGGAGACCATGAGAGAGTATTTTGGAGAAATAACATCAAAGGACATTTTGTCATATTCTTCTCAGTTTCCTCTGTGCTATTACATGTAGTAAAGTCATTTAAGAATGAAGCAGACGCAATTCTGCTTAGACGCTACCATTGATGGGAATGGTGTATGTGAAGAGTACAGAATATAAAGGTCAAAGAATTATATCCATACTTCAAAAGTTCTAAATGCTATACCTAACTTTAAGAAGCAAAACTAACCTTCAATTTAACCTGTCTACCAGTTATTACTGAAATCACCTTTATTTCTAGTACATGTTCTACTGGAATACCATTAAGAAGCCAAAAAAAAAAGTTTCAAATATCATCAATTGTTAAAAACAACGAAGAACAGTTTAAGGAAAGAATGTATTTGAACCACGTAAACAAACAAAAAAGTATTACATAAGAAAAATAATGTAACAATTTATGTAAGTACCTAACATATGAGCATGCTCTTACATCTAAAACAAAAAATAAAAAGGTAACATTGGTACTATATATATATATTTGACAAGTGTGCATTAAAGAATTCTCTAATATAAAACATTTAAAACGTGGAGAATACTTTTCAAGATACAGGAAACAATTGTTATGATAGGCACACCCACAATTCTCATAAAGACATGCTTGCAGAGATAAAATTCATCTGAGCACTCATTTTTCAGATGTACAAAAGCTATGGAATTGTTAATCACTGGATATTGCCTCCCACTTTTGCACTGTTTTGAGTTTCAACACTGATTCGTATGAATTCTGAATTACACAATTAATTACTGTTATTTTTCAGTCTTTCTACCATGTTCTATATAGAATGCATCTATTTAATATGAATACTTAAAATAGCAACATTATTTGTATCAAGGTCACTTCCTTATGTTCATTTTTCTTTAAAGGCACTATATTTAGAAAATAGTTATTACAACAAATAGTGCTTGGAAGATCTGAAACGCCAAATCAATGTGCTCCATCTACTACAAGTAGAACTAAGAAGCCCTAACTGAAAAGAACACAAATGTAAAAAGCTGATAGATTTAAAGATTATAAAATCGGTTTATTGTAAAAAGCGATTCAAGAATACCCCGTTAAAATCTTATCCCAATGCTACCCAATACAACCAAGAAGCAATTAAACACTTTTACATTAGGAACAAGGACATAAAACAAGAAAGACCACATCAAGGCTGTGATTCAAACTCAAAGAGAGAAAGGACTCTTAGGTCTCCTTCAGTCAGTACAGAGGGTATAAGGTCAAAGCACTGTGTCAGGCACCACAGTACTGCTACAACATTGAGGTATGACTGAGCAAATTAAAGTTGAGGGGAAACAAAGATCTCCACATTCTTGTTTTGTGGGTGTACTTAAGTGATTGAAATTTTAGGAACAACTGCCTTCAATGGACAGCAAGATGCAACACAAGTCTTTATCGAAGAGAAACAGTTTATAAAGTTCTCTATCAAGGTCCCACTAAATCTTCAAAACCCCTCCCCATATCTTCCCACCCTCCCCCTAAACTAACACTATTCTGCTGATAAGTAAGATGCATTCTTAATTTGTGGCTTATTGGAAAATTACAGGCACACCTTCCAAAGTAGCTTTGATCTTCTGCACATTAGAAAAAACTCCAACAACATGATATCATCCATATACTCCACTTTGCATTCTAGGTAGAATTTTATTATCACTCTAAAACTCAATGCATCTGCACAGAGGCCATTTCCCCCCAGACTTAATTCAAGATTTAGTCTTTCTGTTGTTTTCTTAGTAAAAGCCTTGGAGTTAATTTTATGAATGACTGACCTATGAATTATTATATACAACACAGTGACTGCAGTTTTTTTTTTTTTTTTTTTAGCACTGAAAGTACTTAAAATAGAACTTCTTACTTCCAACTTTTGCACTTCTCCAAATCAAAGGGCCAAAATACTTAGATTTTGTAACCGAAAAAAAATCTATCTTCCTAAGCTGTGGCTTTTCATAGCAGCTTTAGCCAGGAAAGAAGATTTTATATCTGTTATAAACCCTTGAAAATAAGGGCTTATTCTAAAAACATTGAAAGACCCTTAATCATAGAGGTGCTTAGCTGGTGCCACACTTTTAATTCACAACCATTACTTCGTAGCTTATACTGAAGAGTTAATTCATGCTCATTTTGTTCCTTTAAAAAATACTCTTTGGAAACCATTATTACTCCTGTAGACACATACTCTAGTTATATCTTTTCCTGTAAAAATAAAGGTATAATCATGATTATCTCTATTTCTTTGCTAAATTCAACTACCAATATACATTTATCAATCTGATCACTTTACCAGCTAACTAATGACCTTACACTATTCTATATATTCTATATCCAGGGTCAATTTTCAGCATACAGAAGTAGGAGCAAGTCTTATAAGTAAGAAGAATATTGTAGGCAATATTTTAATCTAGTCTTTAATGTAGTCATTACAAATGAGAAATAAACTATTAGAATTTACTTCCAAAACTAAGGTGAAGGTAGACTCTCAAAGTTAAAGAAAGGTAAACCTCTATAAAGCTTACTTCTGTCATGTAAGTTATGAACCTACTCAGTGATTTCCCATCAAGACTCAAAATTAGTCCAAGGGAGTCCAAGGAGGAAAATAAAGCCATTTCTTGTTTGCTCCTTCCCAATTCATCAGATAATATGTATTGTGTGCCCGGCGGGCATAGAGCACTATGTGTAGTAAATAGCCCTTTCTAGAACACTAAACTACTTTAAACATCTGCAGACTGCCCCAATCAGATTTAAACTACCTGTGAAATATAAACTACTAGTCATGTATTCTAAATGCATACATTCAAAGCTACCATTTTAAAAATAAATTGGAAAGTAGGAAAACCTTAAAAAAAAAAATACATTCTGCTATCACACTATTATAAACATTGTGTGTGTGTGTGTGTGCGTGTGTGTGTATATAAGAGAGAGCAGAGATAATCAAGATTTAAATAAGATGGTAAAAAACCAGGAAATGTAGGTTTTACCAAAAACTCCAACAACTGTCCCAAGCTACAACTATAAACAGATTCACTAATATGGTAATTTGCCTAGGTTCTGACAGAACCAATCAACTGACAACAACAACAACAAAACACCCACCAAAATATCCACCAAAACCTATACTAGAGTATGTGGCAATAATTAATATATTTCTATGGAAATTGTCTCATGCCTTATAAGCTCCTAAAATAAAATCAAGGTCACTATGTGACTAATGATAGCACTAGAAGGAAAAGAAAACACTGAAAGTTAAACAGTCTTCAGCCTTGGTTTCAGCTATCTCTTCGAATCAGCATTAAGTTCTTAATACCAGATACAACATTTTTGGCTTGTCAGACCAGTAAGTCATGTTTTTCCACTGGCCAAAGGCAGCTGAAGAAACAATTGCTTGAACAAACTAAATGCTGTGACATGAAGCATTTGACTTCCAAGTCTGAGTATTGAGTTAAAATGATTGGTGAACATCTAACTGGGCAAAAGGAATGGCATCTATCATCCAAACAGGCTCACTTCCCCCAGCCCCCAAAATGAACAGTAGTTATAATAGCAAAAGAAACAAAAGTTTTTTTTTTTTTTTGATTCTTTAGGGCCAACTGTGAAAGAGGTCAGCAATATATTAACAGCAGCAATGGACAAGGAAGAGCAAAATAGTGGATGAAAGAATCTTGCTGGACGTTTGTTCATCTTTTTCTGTATTAGCCACAAACTGCAACTGGCTTATTTGGAAATTTCAGGTATATATGTCTTATCTCCTTAGATCCTTCACAGATTTAAAATTCAGTCTACCTGAGGGCTCTATAACCATGTAAGAAAGCTTTCTTTATCTAGCTTGGTGGCAGCCAAAACAGACTCCATGTCATTAAGGATGTCAGAACTCAAAGCTTCCTGCAGACTTGGCATCAACTCCTCTCCTTCTATGTTCATTCCATCTCCTTCCAGTGTTCCAAGGTCCACATTTGTCCCAGGAATGGCTTCAAGGTAGTCTGGGAAACGATTCTGCTGTGAGGGCAGGGTGCTTTGGTTAATAGTATCACCTAGTTGGAAGAGAGAGAGAGATAATAAGGTCCTTTTTGAAAAGCTAACATCAGAGGTGTATCATATGAACATACAGAAATGCATAGAGAAAGCAAAGCACTCCTGACTGACCTGAACTGATGATGCTCAGAATTTATTTTAGACCAAACAACCCAAAGATAACAAAATTATCAATGCCAAGTTTATTTTTGCTTCAACATTTATCCAGATACTCAACCAATAGGTTGACTGCTCATTATTATGTATTGAGTATGGAAGAAAGTCATTAAAAAAAGACAAAAACCCCCACAATCCTTCTATCTTCCAGATATGCACCGCCATAATAAAATTAAATATAAAAATGAATGGTATGGATTCGCCTTGCCCTTAACATACACTTCGGGAAGCACTAAAATAAAATGACTGTATGAATACTCTATTCTACCCTTGGAGATTCACATTCGTAACAGCAAAACAAGCCTCCCAGAAGTCCTTGAATAAAAAATCTTCTTATCTTTGCTTTTAGGTTTCTCAAATTTACCTGGCCACAGAACCTTTTTAGCATATGACAACATTAACATTCCTCAGAGCTTCAACAGAACATTCTTTAAAAAAACTAATATAAACTATTAAGTGCTACAGAGGTTTAGTGAAGAGAGAAATAAAGATTGGGGGGTAAGGTACAACACCTCTAGGATGGTTTAAGATCTAGGGATGATTTAAGGATGATTTAAGATCTAGATAAGCAGAGAGGAGGGGGAAGTATAGATTCTAGGCAGCATCAAAGCCACCAGCTGGATAAGCAGAGGCACAAAAGACTTGCTAAACACTTTCAGAAGAGAAGCTGTCAGCTAAAGAACTAGCCAGCTAGCAAAGGGAATTGCTTCATTTCCCTCCCGATACATGTGCTCTGGCAGTTGTCAAGTCCAGGGCAATGGTCATCAGGCAAGCCACAGGAGAAATGCTTCCTTAACTATCTTTGTGAGGGAGGTATTTCTTAGCTCCTGCAAGACCCCTACAACTATTCTAACAACAAAGTAGGTGGCCCCCCCAACCTACCCTTTGTCACCTGGTTTCCTGAGACCTATAGCACCTGAGCTGGGCTAAAAACCCTCAGAGAAGAGAGGGAGGGTTAACTGAATCACATATAGAAATCTCTCTCCAAAATTAAGAACACAAACTTATAAGGAGAGAGATTTCTGATAAGGTTCTGAAATGCCTTGCCAATTAACATTAACATGCTAAAATAAATCAGGTTACCACAGTTTTATTCAAATAAAACTAATATATCCAATCCATGATATTTAAAAACTAGGAAAAGACTTAGATTTTGACCAGTTTTCTTCTGAATAATCTTTGCTCACAATAGCTTATTAGACCTGGTGATAATATGACTATATCTGACTAAAAGTCAGGTTATTAAGAGTAATAAAGAATACCGACCTGTATCCATTTCATCAACGCTGTTCAGAAAGTCATCTGGGGTTCGAGGGACACTGTAGCTGCTCATGCTTAGTCCACTGTCTGTACTCTCATCTCGAGAGTGATAGGTGCCACTACAACATATGACAGTTAAAAACCAACACAAAAATTTTAAAAATCAATTCAAGGTAAAAGTAAACACCTTGTGACTACCAACATAATTCTCAAAGAGGATTAGTGAAAATTCCTACCCTTCAATGTCTGAAACAAGCACCCTCCTTCAGGGTCATATACAGCCCTTGTGCTATGAAGTAAGACAGACAAGTTAATCCTAATTGAAGCTGGCAGCTCGAAGGGGCCAAGAGCTCTCCTAAGGTTCTGCACTTGGTGACAATAAGGGAAAACAGACATACTCAATTTTTGCACCAAACAAAAAATTCTCTGCATAGGTATTCTCACAGTAATACCATTTGAATCTAGAGGGTGGGGGCTGGGGGATCCACATAGCTCACTTGTTGCAAGGTCTTAATTCCCCAGGTGGTGGTAGCACAGACAGAGGTCAAAACACAAACTCCAGGTGGGCAGTGGGACAGGTCTGCACTAGACTCATGTTAAATTCCTAGCTCTCTTGCAGAGAACTTAAGCCAAGAAAAAAAATCAACCCAAAATAAAGAAGCAGAATTCCTTTTTGGACTGCCCAAAATAGATCAGTCACTGCTGATAAGATAAGAATACCCACAGCTTGATCTCCTTGCTTCTGTCTGGGGCAGGGAAGACCCTAAATGTCTCGGCACAAATAGAAGGGTGCACAGCTCCAGCTGAAGGAAAGATCAAAACAAAACAAAAACTACGAGGTACATCCCTTGAGAAAAACATGACCCAAGATAGATTTTTACTTTAGGCTAAATGAAAAGTCTCCCAAATTTGCATACAAGTATGATAAATATCCTCAGAACATGACTTTCATAAACAAAACACTTTCCTAAGCTAGTAGCACACAGACATCATCAGTGGGCACTGACAGTAAAATTTTGAATTTTACTAACTAGAAAATCTTATGGAAAAGAGTAAAAACAAGGTTACTGCTATTCTTCTTAAGGGTCTCTGAACATGGATGTGAACTTTCCCAACAGCTTGAATGTTTACACAGCTATTTGTTTAACTTACACAAAAGTTAAAAAATAAAAAAACCAAGCTTTAAAAACAAGCTTTTATAATACAATTGCTCAAGGTTAAAAGCTCAGTCAATACCTCAAATTTTTGCCTTAAATTACTCAATGCATTTGCCTTGTCCTCCCCCCCCACTCACTCTGCAATTATAGGTTTATTCTAATGCTTCTGCCACATTTTGGCAAGATTCAAAAGCCTCACACAGATCCAAGAAAACACAAATTTGTTTCTGAGACCACTTGTATACAATGCAGTCATGTATGAGAAGGCTTCAGGATGTGGTTTGTTTTTATTTTGCCTGCCCTGATCTAGGACAAGGGCCTGGTCCTAGTCATCACTTTATTCCCACTGCTAAGCATGGAACACACATCAGACATTTGAGTCTGTTACCAAACTTACAGAGTTCATTCCAAACCACAGGGAAACACATGGGCATTCCTAGGACAGAGTTTACAGGGCCATTTTCCTGACTAGGAACTGCTCCCTACAAAAAAACCTGCAGGCCCCACTCATTCAGTAAGCATTCACTGAGCATTTGCTACTGCATGACAGGCATTAGATAAGGTTTTGAGGACAAAGAGGTTAACAACCACCACCACCACCACCTACAAGTGATGCTTTTTGAGAGGCTCCCAACTTCAGGGAAGGAGATGAACAAACACAGTAATGAATCATATACAAGAACTACATGAGCTATGTGAACAAAGTGCTTTCAGAACAAAAAGGGAGCCTGAAACGTAAAGGGGAAAGATTTCATGGAGGAGGACATCTGAGCTGGCCTTGAAGGATCTCAAGAGTAAAGAGGATGTTGCATCACTATTAAGAGTCAACTTCACAGCAAGTTAGAGCAACAAGTGTTTAGAGTTTAAGGAATTGTATAAATCAAGTAGTAATAGAGAAACCATCAAGAGTTTTTTTTTTTTTTCAAAGAAAAAAATGTCAAAGTCAGATATGTGTTTTAGAAATTGGGAGTGCTACAGAAAGTAGATATATGATTCTGCCTTTAGACTAATGACACTGATTATCAGCCACTGTGATCTTCCCAGAAAATAGAATCTCAAACTACAGCCCAGCTCTCACCAGAAGTTTTAAGAAAGAATCTTCATAAACTGTCAGAAGGATATGTAGCTTATCCATTTTTTAGAGTCTAACAGGCCCTCAATAATATAGGTACTAGAATTATATCGATCTGACATTTTCCTTGGGGGAGAAAAAAAAGTTCTGTGGCTATGACCTTTTCTAATCAGTCTAAGTTCAGAACTATAATCTTGTACGAATACACTTAATTTCAAGCAGAACTTTAAACTGCATGTATGTGTGTGTCAGAAGAGTAAATACAAACTTAAAATGCATTTTAGATGGCCTTCAAAATTAAACCTCCCAATTAGGCACCAGCATTACTCTTAAGACCAAACAAATGGTGAAAAATTCTATTGCACTAAATATTTTAAATAGGATACTTTTTCTTAAAATCATGAACTTTTCAATTTAATTGGTGAGGACTGAAAGGGTGGCATAATAGTTTTCCTGAACCCAAATATGTTTAAATATTTTTAAAAGCATGTTGTTTAAGCTATGTTAATTACAAATAATGCCATTAATCTCAATGCATTTTTTGAAAGAGGCACAACCTTACATTTTATCTCCTTGAACTACAGCCTTTAAGAACATGAGGCCTTACAATGCTGCTGGGTGAAACCTCTCAGGTTGAATAGCTATGTGGAAAATTCCTTCCAGTGATCCTTACAATGTGATCCTAAGTAAGTTTAAGATGCATTTCATTTGCTTTCACAGAAAGGCATGCACATGTTCCTTCATGAGTCTGTAATTTTAAGTAACTGTTAGTCAACAGTATAAGCAGAAGCAAACACGTTGAGACTGAATAAGTATCCTTTCTGCAAGTCTGAACAGCTCACTTCCTCTCACAGGAGACAGCTTTTTAATCCTTAACTTTTATTGTACATGCCATTTATGGAGAGATTCATTTACAGCTATAGTTTTTGGCCCACACAGATGTTCAAAACAGTCTACTAAAAGAGCTAAGCAGAATGGTCTTAAAGAGATGATCTTTTCCAGATATTCACCAGTAGCAACTCTCACCTGTTAAGAAAAGGATCTGAACTATTGGTCGTCATTGTTCTCAATTCCTGAGACATCCCGGGAGAAGATACTGGATTTTGAGTCCCGCCGTCCTGTTCCAGCGTTGGCAACTGGCTACGGAGAGCTAATTCCTAAAACAAACAAAACAGAATCAATCTGAGTAACAAATTTATTGTTAGGTTTCAAGAAATAAAATGCAGATTAAAGTAACTGTGTACATACAAAGCTGAAGTATTAACATCTATTTTAGTTAATACACTTTCCAATTAAAAAAAAATACATTTCCTAATGAGAATGACCAAATTCTTCTAACCATAATTTTCAAGTGATTGAAAATTACATAACTTTAAAGTTTGTGCAGTTATATTAATCCAAAAACATATGTACTTTGCTACTTAGTTTCACTGTTATTTTCTTTATTCTGGCAGATAGTCTCAAATCCTCCTTCAAGGTAGAATGGTAAGTCTGGTGTTTAAAAAGTAATTCTTAAAGTTTATTTTTACTCACCAACTCTCATATGATTTTGTGTGTTTGGCATTAGCAATAAAAACAAATACGAAGAACAACATTTGATGATTTATTACTATAAGACACCAATTCTCTCCTCCACCCCCAACATTGTTTTTATACTTTGCTATCAAGTGTCTCACTTTGACTTCAGGTTTTTCTATCTTGAGCTGGGAGAAAAAAGATAAAAAAGACATCAAAAGCAAAAACACAAATCCAAAGTTTCTCCACCATAATAACCATCATATTTAAAATGGGGTAACATTTCTTCAGGGGCATACAATTTCTCAGCAGGATTCTACCTGGAAACCTGAGCAAAGGCTATGGGCTGCTACTCTGATGGTTCCAGAAGGCATACCTCAACAGGTTCCAAACATCCCAGATTTCAGTCTATATTCGCCCAGGACTTGCAAGGCCAGTTCATCTGACTCTGACCAATCCCAAACACCTTCATTACTACTCTGTCTCCTTTTCTCTCCTTTCCATCTGTTCTTTGTTCCCTACCCTCCTAAGAACTTCCACTAGGCCTTTCCAGGTATCATAAATATCATCTCTGCTAGAGCATCAGCTTCTTCTCCCTTCATTTTTTGGTTTGATTTGAAATATGTATGGCTTCTTTTCACAAAGGACACTGGCCTTAACCCCTCCACCCTGCGAAGCCTTCCTGAGCCAAGTCTGCTCACTGAGGCACAGCCCCACCATCTCCAGTCCCCTTACTACCACAATTACCATAGGGTCCAGAGGTATGGAAATATTCTTGTAACTCTATACTGACGCTTCTAAACTATGCTTCTCTCTCCAAGCACTTCTTTTTATTCAGGTTTATACCTTCTAGATACATCATCCTTTAAAGCAGGGTTTCTTAATGAGAGGACCATGAAAAAATTTAGAGGGTTGCTGAACTTAATGGGAGGAAAAATTACCTTAATTTTTGCTAATTTTAACTTAAATTTTGCATTTTCACCAATTATGAATATAGGCAACAAACACAGTAGTATTCACTACGCCCTGACTTTTCACTGAAAGAAGATACAGATACCTTCATATCAAACTGTAGTTGTTGCAAATATCTTAATATGCCATTTGCGATCATAACTATTTCAATACTCTAGCAGTTATAAGACATGCTTCTAGATGTTGTTTGTATGTTAATAAAGACGTATATTATGACAAATTTTTATTTAATATTTTGTTAACTGCATCAATAAAATTCCTTTTCTTTATAATTCTATTTGCATTTTTTAAAAACCTAATATTCTGAGGCAGGATCCACGGGCTCAGCCAAATACCAAAGTTGTTTGTGCTCCTCTCCCTCATAAGACTAACTGCTTTTTATTATACTCAATTAATGAACTTTTAGCTACTCCATCTCATATGTGGGAGAATTTTAAAGCCTGGTCAGAGCCTCTTGCCACTCTAAGTATCATTCATGTCTCTTAATATGCTTCAGTATTAAGTGGACAATTAACTCAAGCTGACAGCTTCTCATACCTTCTGGATTCCAATAATGTTCATCTCTACCTACCTCAATCATCTATTTGCACATCCAAGACATCCTGTTATTGGAAATCAAACCATCTCTAAAATCTTAAGTCACGTTTGGGACAAGAATCAGTATATCACTTCATTCTAACTGTATCTGACACACTGGAATTGTCGACTTCCATGCACCAAATCCATACAATATAGTAGAGAAACATCGGGGAGAAATAATAAAACAAACAAAACAAAAAATCCATACAATAACCCACTGTTGAAATTCCTGGATCGCCTTTAAATTGCAACGATACTGACTCACTACTCACTTTATCACTGTATTTCCATCATTAACTTCCTCAGTCACACCCTGGAAAAGGTTTAGAAATTTTTCTCCCAGCAATCTTACACGCACTAATCCCATTTTCTGATCACATTTTTCTTTCTAACTAGTTCCTGTATAATCTAACTCCCACTCTACCAGCCTTCCAATCCCAGAGACTCCAGACACTTCTCTTCTTACTATTCCAGTCTATTGGCTCCCTTCTGTAGTTTCTTATTTTTTTCTCCTTCCCTTCAAGCTTCAATTCCTGGCCAATCATTTGAAATAAGCAGGAGCACCTTTCAGATCCCTAATATACATTATAATTTTATCTCAACCCAGCAAATCCCAAGCCTGAATCAATGCCGAAGTGTGCTTGCTTCATTTTTTTTTTTGAGACAGAGTCTCACTCTGTTGCCCGGGCTAGAGTGCCGTGGCGTTAGCCTAACTCACAGCAACCTCAAACTCCTGGGCTCAAGCGATCCTCCTGCCTCAGTCTCCCGAGTAGCTGGGACTACAGACATGCGCCACCATGCCCAGCTAATTTTTTCTATATATTTTTTTTAGTTGTCCACATAATTTCTTTCTATTTTTTTTTTTAGTAGAGACGGGGTCTTGCTCTTGCTCAGGCTGGTCTCGAACTCCTGAGCTCAAACAATCCGCCCGCCTTGGCCTCCCAGAGTGCTAGGATTACAGGCGTGAGCCACCACGCCCGGCCCACACTCATCTTTATAACTTTTTTTCCCTGTCTTGGAAAATGAGTTAGTTTTCCCTCCTCTGGTTATAGGCCAACCCACTCCCCCAGTGCTTCTGGGGACCCCTTCTATTCATTTTCTCTCTATCCTCTACTTTGGCCCCCTCCCATTCTTATCTTGTAAAGTGAGAAGTGACTTTAAAACAATAATAGTGCACTCCCCACAGGTCTGTAGAATGACACAGCCTCTCAGTATTGTGTCTTTCCACATGCTGTATCTGTCTAACACATTTTCCTCTCTTCCATATTATTTGAGACCTGGTGAAGGCACCACACCTCCTCTAGGTAACTCTGCATGATGATCCCATCTCCATCCTGAGATTGGATTAGATACACAGATGTCATGTTTTTAACATCCTGAGCATAATTAACATGATCATAGCACTTATCACATGATAACTGTAACTATTTTTTCTGTGCCCCTCAAGGGCAGAATGAATGGATTGCTTTCGAGCATAAAACATAACTTCTAACACCTTGAAGAATCTGTATCTCTTGAAAATATGAGGATGTATTTAGCAATAAACTTTAAAATGAATAAAATTATAGGCTCTGAATGAAGGTGATGCCTAGGGTTCTGTGACAAAATACAGGAACAACTGAGAATATCCTGAAGACTCTCATTTGCTTTTTATGAAAGAAGGTATGCTCATGTTTCTGTTTGCCAAGTTTTGAGCTCCTTGCAGCACAAAACAAATATATGACATTAACCAGTAAGTGATTATTAAAATAACTGAACTGGCTGTAATTTTCATACTGCTTTTTTTTAACTTTTTATTTTAGCCTTTTTTTTTGAAACTTATTTTTCAAAACTTATTTTTGAAGTTCCCACTTGATTCACCTAAACTAAACTGGAAAGGATCAATGAAAAAACGCCACTTTATTTACTGGTGGTGGGAAGGTTTTAGCATTATTAATCAAGCATGAAAGAATTTGGCATGAAAACAAATACAGTCAGTCCTCCATATCTGCGGATTCAACTAACTGGGGATCGAAAATATTCAAGAAAAAAATGGATGGCTGTGTCTGTACTGAAGATGTACAACCTTTTTCTTGTCATTATTCCCTAAACAATACTGTATAACAACTTTTATATAGTATTTATAGTGTATTAAGTGTTATAAGTAATCTAGAGATGATTTAAGGTATACATGAGGATGTGTATAGGGTGATGCTATGCAAATACTATGCCATTTTATGTAAAGGACTTGAGATTATTCCCTAAACAATACTGTATAACAACTTTTATATAGTATTTATAGTGTATTAAGTATTATAAGTAATCTAGAGATGATTTAAGGTATACATGAGGATGTGTATAGGGTGATGCTATGCAAATACTATGCCATTTTATGTAAAGGACTTGAGCATCTGTTGGTTTTGATATCTGTGGGAGTTCCTGGAACCAATCCCCCACGAGATGACCATATAATGTAACGAGGCCAATGATACAAATAACATATATACAGAGTATAGATGCCACACTCAAGGTATGAGTATTCACCTGAGTTTTGAAACTTCGAGTTACAGCAAACAGAACAGTATTGATTAAGTACCCTAAGTTTTGAAAAGCTTTATAGGTGTATAATTGAAGTACATTACACATAAAGTGTACAATTTAACGAGTTTTGAAATGTGTGTACACTTCTGAAACTAGCACTATAATCAAAGTAATCACCCCCCAAATTTACTCCCACTATTTCTCACCTCTCCTACTCCCACCCTTAGAAACTAATGATCTGCTTTTTGTTGTTATAGATTACTTGGTATTTTATAGAATTTTCTATAAATCAAATCATACAGCGTGTACTTTTTCATTTATCATGACAATTTTGAGATTTGTTCATTCTACAGTTCATTCCTTTTTATTGCTAACTAGTATTCTACTGTAAGGATATACTCCAATTGTTTATCTATTCACTTACTGATAGATATTTGGGTTGTTTCTAAATTTTGGCTTAGTGCAGATACATGCTTTCATTTCTCTTGGATACCTTAAAAATGTAAAAACCTAAAAATAGTGCATCTCCAGATTACTGCCTTCTTCTACTGCCTTTCTCCTTATTTTTCTA